CTTAACCCTAACCCTAACCCAGGGGCCCCGGACCCTATTCACCTCCAAGGGCTGCTTAACTCTAACCATCACCTGACCTTGAACCATTAACCCTACCCCTAACACAAGAGTCCTAACCTCTATTCATACCTGAGGGCTGCCCAACCCTAACTAACCATCACCTGAACCAGAACCTTAACCCTAGCCCTAAGGCCCAAACCAAATTTATCTCCAAGGGCCACCTAACCCTAACTACCACCTGAACCTTAACCCCTAGACCTAAGCCCTGGGGCTTGAACCCTATTCCCATGGGCCACCTAATGCTAACCATCATCTGAATCCAACCCTAATCCTAGCCCTGACACAATGGCTTTGAACCCTATACATCCTGAAGCACTGCCCAACCCTCATTATCACCAGAACCCTAACCGAAGTGCCCCGAATACTATTCATCTCCTAACCTAACCATCACCTGAACCCAAGCTCTAACCCTAGCTCTAACTAAAGGACCCCAAAACCTTTCAGTGCCAAGTGCTGTCTAACCTTAATGACCCCAACCCTAACCCTATCCTTAAGACAAGGTCCCTGTCCATATTCATAGTCTTTTTTGAGACAGAGTCTCAAGCTGTTGCCCTGGGTAGAGTGCTGTGGCGTCACAGCTCACAGCAACCTCCAACTCTTGGGTTTAAGTGATCCTCTTGCCTCAGTTTTTCTATTTTTAGAAGAGACGGGGGTCTCGATTTTTGCTCAGGCTGGTCTCAAACTCATAAGCTTGAGCAATCCACCCACTTTGGCCTCCCAGAGTGCTAAGATTACAGGCTGTGAGCTATCATGCCAGGCCCATATTCATGGTCTTAATGAAAAGCCACGAACACTATTCATCTCCAAGGGCCACTTACCCCTATCCATCACCTGAATCTGAACTTTAACCTTAGCCCTAACCCAAGGGCCCTGAACCCTATTCATCCTTAAGCACTGTCTAACGCTAACTGTAAGCCAAAAGTCCCAAACCCAGTTCATCTCCAAGGGCCACCTAATCCTAACCACCACCCCAACCCAAACCCTAGCCCTGGCTCTAAGCCAAGGTCTCCGATCACTATTCATCCCTGAGAGCCACCTAAACTTAATCATCATCCAAAACCAAACCTTAACCCTAACCTTAACCCAAGGGCCCCAAACCTATTAATCCCCAGTGGCCTCCTAACCCTACCCATCACCCAAACTCAAAACTTTACCCTGACTCTCACCCAAGGGCCCCAAACCCTATTTATTCCCAAGGGGCATGTTAATGTAACCATCACCCAAGCCTGAGCCCTAAACCTTGCCTTAACCCAAAAGTTTCAAACCTTATTCATTTTAGGGGCTGCCTAACTCTAACCATCACCCAAATTCAAACCCTAACCCTACGCTAAACCCAAGGACCCAAATCCTATTTATTCAATTCTAATGTCAACCTAATCCTAACCATAGCCCAAATCTGAACTCTAACCCTAGCCCTAACCCAGGGCCCCAAACTATGTTTATCTCTAAGGGACACCTAACCCTAACCATCACCAGAACTGAACTAGATCTACCACAAGGGCCCTGAACCCAATTTATCTCCAAGGGTTGCCTAATCATAATCATCATCAGAACCCAAACTCTAAACCTCACCAGCCCTAAATCAAGGACCCCAAATTCTATTCATCTCCAAAGGCCACCTAATCCTAACCATCACTAAAACCAACTGCTAACCCTAGCCCTAACCCAGTGGCTCCAAACCCTATGTATCTCCAAGGGCCTCCTAACCCTAACCATAATCTGAACCCTAACCCTATTCCACACCCCACGGTCTGTGAACCCTATTCATCCCCAAGGGAAGCCTAAGCCTAACCATCACTCAAATTCAAATCCTTACGCTAGTCCTAGCTTTAACCCAAGGACCCTGAACCCTGTTCATCCCCAAGGGGCACCTAACCATTACCAGAACCCAAACACCAGTCCTCACACAAGGGTCTTGAACCTTATTCATTTTCAACAACCATTTAGCCCTAGTTAAACCATCCTGAGGAAAAATTCCTCTCTATCTGTGAACTTTTTTTTTTTTTTTTTTTGAGACAGAGCCTCAAGCTGTCCCCCTGGGTAGAGTGCCGTGGCATTACAGCTCACAGCAACCTCCAACTCCTGGGCTCAAGCGAGTCTCCTGCCTCCGCCTCCCAAGTAGCTGGGACTACAGGCGCCCACCACAACGCCCGGCTATTTTTTGGTTGCAGCTGTCATTGTTGTTTTGGCGGGTCCAGGCTGGGGATTCGAACCCGCCACCTTAGGTGTATGTGGCTGGCGCCTTAGCCGGTTGAGCTATAGGCGCCGAGCCTCTGTGAACTTTTGAAACTGGAAACAAAGTTATCAGTTATCAGTACCATTTAACCAAATTCAAACAAAGTCAATGGCCTAAACCCTATTCATCTCCAAGGGATGCTAACCCTAGCCATCACCCAAACCCCAACCCTAGTCCTAACACAAGGGCCCCTAAACCTATTCAGCCTTAAGGGCCACCCACACCTTACCATCAACCATACCAAACCCTAACCCAATGGCCCCAAACCTTATTCAACCCCAAGGGCTGCCTAACCCTAACCATCACCCAAACCCCAACCCTAGTCCTAACAAAAGGGCCTCTAACCCTATTCAACCCCAAGGGCCACCGACCCCTAACCATCACCCAGACCAAACCCTAATCCTAGCCCTACCCAATGGCCCCAAACCCTATTCATCCCCCAGGGCTGCCTACCCTAACCATCACCCAAACCTGTAAGGACCCTGAACCTTATTCATCTCCATGGACCACCTAACCTTAACCATCATACAAAACTGGAACATTACCCCAGTCCTAACTTAAGGGCCTCAAAACCTTTTTATCTCCAAGGAATGCCTAGCCCTAATCATCGCCCAAAACTGATCCCTAACTGTAGCCCTAATACAAGAGCCCCCTAACCTTAACCATCACTCAAATCCTCACCCTATCCTAAGGGCTGCCTATCCCTAACCATCACTGGAACCCAAACCCTAACCCTAGCCCATTCTAAAGGGACTCATACCTTATTCATCTCCAAGGGCTGCCTAACCAAGGCCATTATCCAAATCAGGACCAGGTCTCTGCAGCAACCAGCTAGTAGCTACATTCAGCAGATGTACTTTTGCTTTTTCTAATCCTGGAGTGTGGCCTGTGTCCTTATCAAAAAATGTTTTTAGTGTTCTTTTTCCTAATATTGGTGTGCTGTCTGGTGTTCATACAATATATATTTTTTAATATTAAATTTCTTTTCTGTCTCTTTTTCTTTCTGTCTTTGTTACTTGCCTGCTCACCACAATCCACTCTCTGTCCCCCAGATATCCATATCTATTTCATATGCACAATATATTCATTCCAAGGTCGTCCAAAGCCTCAATCCATTATACCAGCAGCTCAGGTCTAAAATCTCATCTAAATCTCATCAGCTCAAAAGTTCCAAATCTTATCAATCTAAATTACTAAAGTTAGGTAAGGTTGAGACTATGGCTATAAACCATCCTGAGGAAAAATTCCTCTCCATCTGTGAACCTTTGAAACTGGAAAGAAAACTATCAGCACCCAAAGTACAATGGTGGGACAAGTTTTCAGCACTGGTCAAAGACATTCCTGTTAACAAAGAGAGACACATGGAAGGAAAACAAAGGAGTCTCTGGTCCCAAGTAATTTCAAAATACAGCAAGGCAAACTCCATTAGATTTCAGGCTCCAGGCAGGCCAGGGGTAGGGGTGGAGCTCAGCAGAAGAGGGAGAGGAGGTTAAACATACTGAGTGAGGACTAGATGGCTATTTGATGGGAGTGTTTAATGAGGTTCAAATCCCGCGCAGGGAGGCTAGCGCTAGTGCTGAGGCAGGCTAAAGAAGGAGCTAGTCAGGGAGAGTAGGAGGCCAATCAGGAGAGGGGAGGAGCCTAAGGAAATAAGGGAAAGCTAGATGGCTAGAGGGGCCCTCACATAAATATTTAATTAGGGTCAAATCCCGGGCAGGGAGGCTTGGGGAGGAGCTAGTTGGGCAGGCTAGGAGTGGAGCTAAGCAGCAGAGAGGGAGGATCTAAAAATTGGGGGAGGGCTAGAGAGCTAGCAGGCCCTAATGAATATTTAATAAGTTTAAATCTCATGCCAGGAGGCTAGCTCTAACTAGCTAGTCAGGCAAGCAGGCTATGAGAAGAGCTACGCAAGTAGGGTAAGGGTGGAGCTAAACAGAGAAGGGGAGGACTTTAGGGCCCTAATATATGAATATTTAATGAGGTCAGTATCCCTGGCAGGGAGGGTAGCTCTAGGTAGGCAAGTAGGCAGGCCAGGGGAGGAGCTAGGCAGACAGGATAGAGGTGGAGCTAAGCAGAAGAAGGGGAGGACATGAAATAAACGAATTTTTTCTGAAAAACCTGATGTAAAATATAGGAGTTCCTACATATGTCTCTGACACATCTCCCCAACTGGTATGAGGCTGTTAATATGAAGAACATGAAATAAAGTATATCAGTGGTTAAGATCTTAAGCTTGAGCTTTATAATCAAATAGATACAAATTGAAATTCTGGTTGTAATCTGGGACTTGATCTGGGGATTGTGCGGTTTGCACATCAATGTGTACTTGCAAGATTTGCTTGCTGCCCTAGGAAATAGCTAGCCTGAGAGGAGTAGCCATTCCTTCCTGGTCTGCATAGCCCCAAGATGCCAAAGCATCATAAAATATAGAAGAAAGCTGAGCACAATGACTCAAGCCTGTAATCCTAGCCCTTTGGGAGGCTGAGGTGGGAGGATCGCTTGAGCTAAGGAGGTTGAGGCTGCAGTGAGCTATGATCACACCACTGACCCAACCTGGGCAATAGTGTCAGACTCTATCTCTTAAAAAAACTCATACTTTAAAAATCCCATGATGAACACAAACTGTTTCCTGTTTTATGATATGTAATTTATTTGAAGACAATAGTCGAATCCCAGCTGACAGGTTCAAAGGTCAGCACTGAGTTCTTGAAGAGTAGGGTATTTTCAGGGACATCCTGCTTTGCTAGGATGCACTCTTATGGTGTGCTGGACAGCAGCACCTGCATAACCTCGTGCACCTCCCACATAGCTTGGCACCAAACCTCTTGATCCTCTGGCCCTTCTCAGTCTCAAACATCTTGGGGATAATGTAGATCAGCCACACGCAGAGCAGGATGGCCACCATTATCCCCACCACGCCCATCTCCTGGTTCACCATGGGCTGTGGGTAGGCCCCATGCACATAGATGCTGAAGACAGTCTCCAGGTGACAGTAGCTGTGGGGCAGGCAGGGAGAGGCTGTTTGGCATGGCGTGGGGAGAGGGGCTACCCATCATCTCAGCAAAAGTGTTCAGATCCACAGGTGGAAGACCCAGATCTGGTAGCAGTGATTGGGTACCCTTTATGTCTTTGTCAACTTTGATGGGTTCCGAGACTGCCGTCCTCTCTGTGTATTTTGGCAGCTAACATCAAGGTCCCCACCCCATCCCCACACCCAGGCTCCATCTAGAGAAGGCAGAAGGGGTGAAACTAAACCTGAGGGGGCATCTCAGAGTACAAGAGGGGGCGACTATTGAAGTCCATTCCCTCTCACCTGGTGCTTTCCTCCTGTGGCCATCTCAGAGTTTGTCCCCTACTCCAGGGTCTGATGCCTATAGGAAAGGCCACGCCTACACATGCTGACAATGATTTCATGCAGGGTGAGGACACAGGAAAGGATGCCTTAAGTCTCCCTCCCCACAGGACATGTTGATCCATGTGTTATGGTTAGACATGGCTTCAGAATCCCCTTGGCACCTGTGACTTGTTAATATTTAAAAACTGGCTCTCAGAGGGGAAAAGCCCTATATGCAGTGATTTTTGTTTGTTTGTTTTGGAGATAGACTCTCACTGTCTCACTCTGCCATAGCATCATTCATCATAGTTCATAGCAAACTCAAAGTGATCCTCCAGCTTCAGCCTCTCAAGTAGATGGGACTACAGGTGCCTAGTACACCTAGCTAGTTATCCGATTTTTCGTAGAGACAGGGTCTTGATTTTGTATAGGCTGGTCTCAAACTCCTAAGCTCAAGCATTCCACCAACCTTGGCCTCCCAGAGTCCTATGATTATAGTTGTGAGGCACTGTGCCTGGCCCCCAATGTGTAGTTTGTTTGCCAATCCTGATGGTGTAAATATTACCACTGTCACTGATTTTGAGCTACCAACATGAATCAACTAGCTTGCACAATTTCTGGATATTTAAGAGTCAGCTCCTGTGAGCCAGTCTGAGCCTGCTGTTACCCATGGACATCAACATAACATTAGTCATGGGGAGTAGGAGAAAGGTGGACTCTGCTCCATAAGGGCAGGGATAAGCCAATGGTTACTGCTGTCCCCAGCACTCGGTGCAGACTCTGAGCTAAGTATTTATTTAGCAAAGGAATAAATATCACCAGGAACTTAAAACATCATTCTTCTCTTGGGGATGGTGTGAGTTGTTGGAGGAACTCAGTTTTAGCCAGGACTTGCCCAAGTGGAGAGAGAAAATCATGCCCCCTGCACATGTGTGACCTGCCCCCAGAGGTGACAGCCATCCCCTGCCATCGGGGAAACTGACTTCACTCACCTGTAGTACGGATCCACAATAGAAATGAAGAAGGTGTATATGCCATTCCTTTGGTCAAAAGCAAGAGCGTTTTTTGTCTGGCCTCCCAAGATCTGATACTTAACATTTGGCCACTGCAATGGGGCAGTGTTTTCAGGGTCATGGCAGCTCACATAGTTCTAGGGAGGAGGACAGAGATGGGGAACGTAACCATGTGAAATAAAAAAGGAGCTGAGACTTAGGCTAATGGCTTTTTTATGTGGACCTATCTAGCTCTACCTCCTAGCGTTAAGCAGCTATATTCCATCAATAATTGCTGGAGGCCTGGCATGGTGGTTCACACCTGTAATCCCAGCACTCTGGGAGGCCTAGGGGAGAGGATCACTTGAGATCAGGAGTGAGCAAGAGCATGACCCTGTCTGTACTGAAAACAGAAAAATGAACTGTGCATGGTCCCTGTAATCTAAGCTACTCGGAGGCTGAGGCAGGAGGATCACTCCATCCCAGGAGTTTGAGGTTGCAGTGAGGTAGGCCAATGCCATGGCTCTCTCACCTGGGCAACAGAGTGAGATTCTGTCTAAAAACAAACCAAAAAACTGCACTTAAAATGCAGGCATGTGCCTCTAACCTGACAGAAAAAACCCTGTGTTTCACAAAATCACCCACTCACCAAGGCTGATGGGAAAAATAAAAGAACAATGAAGGCACAATCCCTTAAATGCATGCGTGCATGAAACTCTGAACAAGAGAGCAAATGAGAAGAATGCATACACAAATAGCACAGTGGAAAGATACTAAACAGCACTTAGATTATATGTGGCTTTCTCTTTTAAAAGATAATCAAAGAGGTGCAATGTGGGTACACACTGTCATGAATATATTAAATGCCAGACTCTAAGAATGATTAATTGCATGGCATGTGAATTTCACCTAGGCTTAAAAAAACATAAAAAGTAAAACTACCACCAACAAAATCAATAATCAAACTCATTTGATGAAAGTGGGTGTGAGAAAGGGTTGAGTGAACCCAAAAAGGTGTGCCCAAGAGTGTGCACTCAGCATGAATGCCATCTGCAGGCAGCTTTGCTGCTGCTTGTGCCATGTTTGTGCCCTTATGTTGATGGACTCTTTTACAAAACATTAAATGTGTTGGATAAGGTGCACATGTGGATCTATGAGATCACTTCCTTACAGACATCATAGCCTTTTTTGTCAATTGTGTGTGAATGAATTCCAATTATGGAAATGCTCACTAAGCAGGACAGACTGGGAATTTGGATCATTCTAGACATCTTCCCATCCTGCAAAGATCTTAGTAACTACATCTACCCACAATTGGGCAATTGAACATCCCCCAAAAGACTTTGGGGTCCTACATTCCCACACTTGGCCCTATTGCCACATGGCATCCTAGCATACCGTCTTGTCCCCTCAGTGGGTGGCAGACCCTTTTGGACGTAATCAAGGGGTCAGTGCTACCTCTCTGTTCCAGGAGAAAGGTGCCCCACTGTCCTTCATGACAGTGCTCCAGTTCTGCGGCTGGGATCTGCAGTGTGCCTCTGCGGCCGTCAGGGCGTAGGTGTACGTGAACAGCCCGTTCACCTCGAGCAAGACGTACTCAGCTTCGACTAACTCCTGGAAAATGTCTCCTTGCCACCTGGGACACATGCACAGGGCATGACCTCAGGAGCCAGGCAGTGAGGTGGGGGGCCAACCACAACCCCTCTGTGGTGGATGTGTCATAAAACCATCATGGGGATGAGAGGCATCAGAGTGCAAAGCACAGGACCCCCGGGCTGCACCCAAAGGTACAATGTGTGGAGAGGTGGGGACAGAAGTGGTGACAGAGCCAGATGGACAGGTAGGGGATGGCAGCTGGTATTTTCTGCTGGGTGGAAACCAAAGTCCTATCTGAGAAGGGGTCAGATGAGCAGAGATGGGAGGAAACTGATGTTGGGCTATGTACCTGAGTAATATCACAAATAAAACCCTTCAAGCCCACCCCTGATCCCTTTCTGATGACATCAGTGTAGGGGAAACTGAGCCCTGATTTTTAGTATAAGACTCACTTCCTGCTTGAGAGACCTGGAAAATCACAAGCATGGCATATGTGCATGCAAGAGATCAGAAACCTGGCCTCCAAGGGAAAATGTATGTAGGAGGTGTGGCAATAATAATTATGGTAAAGATTCTCTAGATTCCAAAGGTCTCTTGATGCTGGAGGGAGAGGTTGTGCTCAAGGTCTGCAGTTTTGCAAAAACAAAGGCAGAGACATTCTATCTGACATTCTCCATCTCCTTTCCAATCAGTGCTAATGTCAGTGTTCAGCAAGCAGCTTTTGTCTACTTCTTCCTGTTTTATGATAATAAATATGGACCCAAGGTTTACTAAGGAGGGTTCCTCCCAGAGTTCCTCTGTCCCCCTACACAGACTTTGTTTCAAGCCTCCTCATTCTCACATCAAGACCCCCTCATTTGGTGACTCCAAACACCTTCAATCTGGAACTATTCACAAGGTCTACATTTAGGGCTCTTTTTTTTTTTTTTTTGAGACAGAGCCTCAAGCTGTCCCCCTGGGTAGAGTGCCGTGGCATCACAGCTCACAGCAACCTCCAACTCCTGGGTTCAAGCGAGTCTCCTGCCTCCGCCTCCCAAGTAGCTGGGACCACAGGCGCCCGCCATAACGCCCAGCTATTTTTTGGTTGCAGCCGTCATTGTTGTTTGGCCGGTCCAGGCTGGGGATTCGAACCTGCCACCTTAGGTGTACGTGGCTGGCGCCTTAGCCGGTTGAGCTATAGGCACCGAGCCCATTTAGGGCTCTTAATCAGGGGTTTCTCACACCTATGGTGCATTTCACAAGGGTATATGTCAAATCTACTAAGTATAGAGTATAAATGTCTTAACACAATAATTAAGAAAGTTTGGTGAAGGCTATGTTAACCAGTTTGTTGTAAGTATTTCAAATTGCATATAAAATCAGCATATTGTACCGCATAAATGTATTAATGTACATAGCTATGATTTAATAGAAAAAAAAGAGATGAAAGAGAAGATTTTAAATAATCAGAGTTTTCTTCTAAAAATCATTTCTTTTGGATCCATATTCTATCTCTGTAGCAGGGAGCAATACAATACCCTGGATTGCAGTCATGTGTGTCTATGTGCATGCCTTGTGTGTTGTGTACAGGCATGATCACATGTATGTCATGGTCATGTGTGTTGTGTGTGTAGGTGGGGAAGATCTGTTCTAGAAGAGACAGAATCTTGTTTTAAGCAGAACCCAGGGGCCCTGCAGATGATAACCCCAGATGCTGTGAAGACCAAAGGGGAGTCACTTGACAGCTTTCACACACACACACCCCATATGGCTGTCTGAGCAAAGGGTCCTTTGGTAGCCTTGCTTCTAGAACCTTCTCCTCTCCTTCTCACTACAATGTGATTGTGGCTGTTCCTAGGAACACGGCTGCCCTTAGATGCCAACCTCTGGCCCACAAGCCACCCACATAAACATCATATAAATGCAGACACTGTACCAGGTGGGAATCAGGTAAGTGGAGATATGATCAGGGAAGACAGCAGGACCACGGAAAGGGAGAGACTGTTAGAGACCGAACTGTGTTCCTCTAAAATCCCTGTGTTGAAGCCCTAATACCCCGTCCCCATACAACTGTATTTAGAGATGGAGCCTTTGAAGAGCCAGTGAAGGTTAAATGAGGTCATAGGGTGGAGCCCTAGTTGGATAGGACAGGTGTTCTTGTAAGAGGAGGAAATGACATCAAAATATATGTGGGCTTGTGCTCTCTCTCCTCCCTCTCTCCTTCTCTCCCTTCTCCCCTCCTCACCTGCCACCTTCCCCCACCCATGTGAGGGCACATCAAGAAGGTAGCTGTCTACAAGCTAGGAAGAGAGCCCTCACCAGGAACCAACCTTGCCAGCACTTTGATTTTTGATTTCTCACTTCTGGGACTATGAGGAAACAATGTCTATTTTTAAGCCATGCCATCCGTGACATGCTGTTAGTACTAAGACAGTGGCAGGGGGTGGGGTGCTGTCTGGGCCAACAGGGGCAAGCACAGTGTTCTAGGGAGAAGGCAGAGGAGGGATGAAGCCTTGGAGGAGGCTGGCAGGGCTGGGCTGGGAATAAGATGGAGGACAGTGTGACCCTGGGGCCAGAGAACATTGGCTATGTCACCATGCTACAGGACTTACAGCTCGACCACGGGCTTCCATGGTGTGTCATAGTAGATCAGGCCAGGACAGCCCAGTTGCTGATATGAGTAGTGCACAACCAGGTCCTTGGTGGCCTTTTGCCCCTGGAATTTGGGATCATAGGACTCCCTTCAAGAAAACAGGAAGCAGACATGGGTGGTAGGGTATGAGCTCCCCCCAGATAGCCAACCCTTCACAGCCTCAGTTTGTCCTCCACAAACAAGGAATGCTTCTCAAGAGTGAGCAGAGGTGACATTTGAGGATTTGGAGCCAAGGCTCAAATGATACCAGAATCTCCCGTTTTGGTTAATCTTATGTGTCAGCTTGGCTGGTCCATAGTGCTCAGATGTTTGACCACAACATGGTTTGGATATTTCCGAGAAGGGTTTTGTTTTTGTTTTTTAAAAATAAAACATTAACATTTAAGTTGGTGGATTTTGAGTAAAGCCAATTAGCTTCCATAATGTGAGTGGGCATCATCTAATACACTGAAGGCCTTAACAGACAATGACAGCCTTGACCCCACCAGCAAACTCTTCCCTGTGTTTCAGCCTGCTACCCTACTTTGCACATCTTGGATTTACTAGGCTTCTACAGTTACATGAGCCAATTGCTTAAAATAAATTCTCTATCCCTCCCTCCACTATGTTCTTTTTTCTTTTCTTTTTTTTCTTTCTTTTTTTTTTTTTTTTTTTGAAACAGAGTCTCACTTTGTCGCCTGCCATAGAGTGCTGTGGCATCACAGCTCACAGCAACCTCCAACTCTTGGGCTTAAGCAATTCTCCTGCCTCAGCCTCCCGAGTAGTTGGGACCATAGACGCCCACCACAATGCCCAGCTTTTGTTGTTGTTGTTGTTGTTGTTGTTGTTGCAGTTGTTATTGCTGTTTTAGCTGGCTGGGGCCAGGTTCGAACCCACCACCCTCGGTATATGGGACTAGGGCCCTACTCACTGAGCCACAGGGGCCACCCCTCCCCCACTAATTAATAGTGAGAACTGTTACTAATTAATAACCTCTGCTGTGATTTAAATGTCTGTGTCTCCCTAAAATTCATACATCAAGGGTGGTGCCTGTGGCTCAGTGGGTAGGGTGCTGGCCCCATATACCAAAGGTGGCAGGTTCAAACCGGCCCCAGCCAAACTACAACAAATAAATAGCTGGGTGTTGTGGTAGGCACTTGTAGCCCCAGCTACTTGGGAGGCTGAGATAAGAGAATCGACTAAGCCCAGGAGTTGGAGGTTGTTGTGAGCTGTGTGACATCATAGCACTCTACCAAGGGTGATAAAATGAGACTCTGTCTCTACAAAAATAAATAAATAAATAAAATGACATTTATAGGTCAAAACCTAATCCTAGTGCAGGGATGTTGGGAGGTGATAGGGTCAGGAGGGTGCAGCCCTTATGAATAGGATTAATACCCTTATAAAAGAGGCTTGAGAGGGTTCCCTTCCCCCCTCCATCATGCAAGGACACAGTGAGAAGGCAGCATCTGTGAGGCAGAGAGCAGGCCCTCACAAGACCCCAAATTTGCCTTGATCTTGGATTTGCCAGCCTCCAGAACTATGAGCAATCAAATTCTGTTCTTTGTAAACCATCCAGTCTAAGGTATTTCATTACAGCAGTCTGCATGGACCAGGACAATATCCTTTATTTCCTTGTAGGTCCCAGACCCACCACCCCTCACCAAACCTAGAAATACCAGTTTTGGCTCTGGAAGAGTGGTTGACTCTTGGCTTGTATTCCAGGGGCTGTCTTACAAAACACACAATGCATATGGGGTGTACTAGCGTGGTGAGGGGCTCTCCCAGGCTGGGTGCAAAGAGGGGGTCCTGATACAGTTTGGAGGCTTTCCCTTCCAAAATTCATGTTGAAATTTGATTCCTAGCTTGGCGCCTATAGATCAGGTGGCTAGGGCGCCAGCCACATACATCGGAGCTGGCAGGTTCAAATCCAGCCCAGGCCTGCCAAACAACAATGAGAACTACAACCAAAAAAAATAGCCAGACGTTGTGGTGGACTCCTGTAGTCCCAGCTGCTTGGGAGGCTGAGGCAAGAGAATCACTTAAGCCCAGGAGTTTGAGGTTGCTGTGATCTGTCATGCCACGGCCTTCTACCCAGAGCGACACCTTGAGACTCTGTCTCAAAAGAAAAGAAAAGAAATTTGATTCCCAATGTTAGAGGTGGCAACTGATGGGAAGTGTTAAGATCACCGGTGGATATCTCATGAATGGTGCCCTCCTTGTGGTAATGAGTGAGTTTTCAGTGATAATGAGTGAGTTGACCTGGCAGAAGTAAGGAAACTTTGGCCTTCTGATTTCAAGATTATTCTTTTTTAAGTACCAAAGGAGGTAGGAAAAGCTTCATTTTTTTCTGTTGCACCATTTGAATAAAAGGATTTGTTCTATAAAATTTGGGTTCAGTCAAAAGGCCACACTCAAGGATGCAGAAGATCACATGTGGCCCCAAGGCCCCAGGATCCCTACCCCTGGCCAGCACTTTCTTTCTCTCTTTTCCTCTTTTGCCATGAATGGAAGCTTCCTGAGGCCCTTGCCAGAGCAGGTTTTGTGCTCCTTGCATGGCCTGCAGAAGCATGAACAAAATAACCATCTTTTCTTGGTAAATTATCCAGCTCACCTATTCCTTTATAGGTATACAAATGGACTAAGACAGGCCCAAAGCCCACCAAAGATTCCAGGAGTGCCTATAGGATAAGGAGGTGTCTAAAGGGTAACATTTTGGTACCTGGCATGGTGGTGAGTGCAGAGATTCTCTCCTGACCAGATAGGAATTTTTCCTAATTTGCCTTTGGTACAAGCAGGGGCGGGGGTTGTCAAAGAGTCACCAAGGGTATCACAGGAGGGATAGAAGAGAGGGGACACACCAGCTTACTTCTCAATGATGTAGGTGTAGTTGTCCTGAAGGGCCACCGGGTCCAAAATGCCCTTGGCACAGGCTGTAATTTTGCTGTGATCAAGAGAAGACAGTGAGAAACTGCCTGACCTTGTGAGGAACCAAACAATCATGAATTGGACGTGAATCATGGGACGCCCCTCACTTGTCAAATGAGCAAAAATAAAAAAAAATTGAGAGACCCCAATGCTGGCATCGGTGGGGTAGGGAGGGAAATGGCCCTGGCACATTGCTGCCAAGGGTGTAGCTGGTCTGGCTTCTTTTCTTAATTTACTTTCTAAATTGTGTTAAAATACACATAACATAAAATTTATCATCTTAACTATTTTTTTTTCCAGATGGCTACACCATTTACTATCTTAACTATTTTTAAGCACACAGTTTAGGGGCATTAATAAGCACATTCACTTTCTTGCCCAATCACCACCAGGCTCCATCTCCAGAAAATTCTCAATTTCTGAAATTCTGTCCCCATGAACAGCTAACTCCCTACCTCCCACACCCAGCCTATGGCACTCCCCTTCTAGTTTCTATCTCTGTGACTCTGACACCTCTAGGGGCCTCATATGAGTGGGATCATATTTGTCCTCTGTCTGCTTCTCTCACTGAGCATGGTGACCTCAAGGTTCATCTATGTGGTACCTTGTGTCAGAATTATCTTCCTTTTTTTTTTTTTTTGAGACAGAGTCTCAATATGTTGCCCTAGGTAGTGTGGTGGCATCATAGCTCACAGCAACCTCAAACTCTTGAGAGTGAGTGATTCTCTTGCCTCAGCCTCCCAAGTAGCTGGGACTTCAGGCGCCCACCACAACACCCAGCTATTCCTTTTTATTTTGTATAGACCTTCACTATGCTCAGCTAATTAAAAAAAAAAAGTTGTATAGAGACAGGGTCTTGCTATGTTTCCCAAGCTGGACTCAAACTCCTGGATTCAAGCAATTATCTCACCTCAGCTTCCCAAAGTACCAGATTACAGGTGTGAGCCACTGCACCTGGCCTAAACTTTTATTTTATTTTTTATTTTTATTTTTTTGAGACAGAGTCTCAATATGTCACCTTCAGTAGAGTGCCATGTTGTCACAGCTCACAGCAACCTCAAACTCTTGGGCTTAAGCGATTCTCTTGCCTTAGCCTCCCAAGTAGCTGGGACTACAGGCACCTACCACAACACCTGGCTATTTTTTTGTTGCAGTTGTCATTGTTGTTTAGCTGGCCCAGGCCGGGTTCAAACCCACCAGCCTTGGTGCACCATAACCACCAGGCTACGCGCACTGCACCTTTATTTTATTTTTTGAGACAAGCTCTCACTAAGTTGCCCAGGCCACTGTTGAACTCCTGGCCTCGACCAATTCTCTCTTCTCAGCCTTCCAAGTTGATGTAATTAAGGGCCAAGGCCACCTCACCTGGCTAATTATTGAGGTTTTTTATTTTTTATTTTTTATTTTTGGTACATAAATATTTATTCTTTTTTAAATTTCAGATTAATTTAAGGATACAAACAATTAGGTTACAATGTTTGCATTTGTTAGGTAGAGTCCCTGTTGTGGGTTGTGCCATTGTGAGGTATGCCATATATCCTAACATTGTGCCCATTAAGTGGGAACACACCAATCCCCCTCCCTCCTCCCCTCTTCCTCCTTCCTCCTTCCCCCACCCCCATTTTTAATTGGATTCAGTTCTTCTCTTGTATGGGTAATTAGATTGTCTACTGGCTTCATATTAGTATTGAGTACATCGGATGCTTGCTTTTCCATTTTTGTGATACTTTACTAAGGAGAATGTGTTTCAACTCTTTCCAGGTTAATACAAAAGACATAAAGTCAAAAAAAAAAATGATGTAAAGTCTCAGAGGGAGGAGGGTGGGGATCTCACTGTGTGACACACCTTTGGGGGCAAGATACAATTATAAGAGGGACTTTACCTAACAAATGCAATCTGTGTAACCTGGTTTCTTGTACCCTCAATGAATCCCCAACAATAATAATTTAAAAAAAGATCTGAAGTCTCTATCTTTTTGTGGCTGAAGATAATATCCCACTTAAGTAATTGTCACCTTGTGGTCAATCTCATCCCATCCATATGCCTCCCAGCTTTCCCTACACACCCCAATATCAACATACTTACTTCTGGACAACGATCTTTTTATCCAGGTCACAACCAACTGAAATGAGTGTGGACTGCAGATAAGAGTGACAGAGACATGGACACAGTCAGTGAGGGCTGTCCAGAGCCCAGTTCAGTGAAAACCTACATAGGGAGACTCTCACAAGAGAAGGGTTTGGAAGCTGTCTGTGGCCTGGATCACACCAGGGTGACCCAGATGTCTGGAATATACTATACCCACAGGTGGCCCCATGGAGCATAAGCCCTGTGACCCCTTTTTTGTTGCCTTTCCTTTTACACCATGGGCCCTACCTGCCCTGGGGGTTAAGGACGTTGGCTCTGTCAGCAGCACTGGTCATCTGTGGGTCAGCAGCTGTGGGTCCCATTCTTGAGTTGGGATGCTGCTGTGTATCCACACAGAAAGAAACTCCCCTCTCTGTTTAAAGGGTATTCCAAATGGCTGTCCTAGGGATAGCACCTGGCACCCAACTTACCCCAGGACTGGTCAGCTACGAGCAAGCCTCAGAGTAGAAAACAATCCAGTCCAATGAAGGCATCCTCTTCCCAGAGTCCAGCAAGCTAGAGCCCTTGCATATTAACTTGTATTTCCTTGTAACTCCACATGGACTTACATTTAATTTATATATGCCTTTGTATTCTGTATTCTTGATACTCTGGCATCTGGAAACTTGCTGACAGGGACAGCCACTTCCAAGATTAGCTTATTCCTAGAGATGGCAAATACTCTCCCAAGTGCATGCTCTTGAAATGCAGACCAACCTGCCACCAGCCATCTACCAACCTCTGGCTGCTACACTTTGGGAAGCAATATACCTCTGCATGTATCAGCCCAAGGCCAGGTGCTAGACACCACAGGAACACCACCTCTGTAGCCCAGAGTCTGCTGAAATGCCTCAAACTAGCTGATCCTGCTCAATCCCTTTGTGTCCCCTGCCCACCTTTTACTTCCCATCGAGATCTCAGTCAAGGCTTTGGTGCTGGTGTCCTCTCACTCCTTCTGTCTTCTGACTGACCCTGGAAGTTCTCTGTGTAGCCCTGCATGGCTGCCCTGCCTCCTGTTTCTAGCAACCCATGAGCATGTGCTTCCTTCTTGGCAGCTTTATTCATCATTGCCAAAACTTGGAAGCGGCCAAGGTGAATGGATAAACAAGTTGTGCTACATTCAGACAAAGCAATATTATCTGCCTCTAAGAAGAAATAAACTATCATTGGGCATGGTAAATCATGCCTGTAATCCCATATACTTGGGGGCTGAGGCCTGGGGGTATGGTTTGAACTCAGGAGTTCAAGATCAACCTGGGCAACATAGCAAGGCCCCATCACTAAAAAAATTTAAAAATTAAGTGAACTTTTCTAGAACTAGAATGTAAATGTTTTGACACAATGACTATGCAAATGACATGAAACCATCTTGATGAAAGTATTTCAAAATGTATATGAAAACTCTACACTGTACCCCATGTTTGCATTAATGTATACAGCTATCATTTAAATAAAAAAAAAGAGTTTGAGCTCAAAAAAAAAATTTAAAAATTAAATTAAGTTAAATTAATGAAATAAAGGAACTCTCAACTATGGAAAGACATGGAAGAAATTTAAATGCATGTTGGCAAGTGAAAGAAACCAGTCTGTAAAGGCCATATACTGTATGATTCCAGTTATAGGACATTCTGGAAAAGGCAGAACTATGGAGACAGTAAAACCATCAGGGATTGGGGAGAGGGAGGGAGGAACAGTCAGAGCATGGGGGATGTTTAGGGCAGTAAAATTTCTCTTTGTACTCCTATAATGGTAGGTACATGTCATTTACATTTGCCCCTTAGAATGTACAACACCAAGAGTGAGCCCTCATGTAGAATTGTGAACTCTCAGTGATGATGATGCATCCATACATATTTATTGATTGTGACAAATTTCCCTCTCTCTGGGGATGCCAATAATGGAGGAGACAGTGGGTATGTGTTAGGAGAGGGAAGAGTTATGTTAGACCTTTCCATACTTTCTGTCCAATTTTGCTATGAACCTAAAACTGCTCTTATAAAATTAAGTTTATTTCAAAACAAAACAAAACCTTCTTTATGTAAATCCCGTCCATGTCTACATGTCTTACCCTCAGCCCCAGACTGTGGATCAGTACTGCTCCACAACCTGTTAGGAACTGGGTCTCACAGCAGGAGGTGAACACCAGGCAATTGAGCAAAACTTCATCTGTGTTTACAGCTGCTTCCCATCACTCACATCACTGCTTGAGCTCCACCTCCTGCCAGATCAGGGGTAGCATTAAATTCTCACAGGAGTGTGAACCCTGCTATAAACTTCTCATGTAAGGGATCTAGGTTGCTCATTCATTATGAGTATCTAATGTTGATGGAGGTAGAGCTGAAGTGGTGATGCTAATGGTGGGGAGTGGCTTCAAATACACATTGTCATTAGCAGATATAAATCAACTGCTTGCAGACTCACATCCAAACTATCCCCCCGCCACCATCTCAGTCCATGCCAAAAGGTGGAGGACCACTGTCTTACCATACCTGACTAAAACAAACTCTGGTACATTTTAACACAGCCATATCTGCCCTCCTCACCAAGGGGTGGCTGGGTTTCCAAGCAGGTGGCTGTCAACCTCTGTGAATAGGCCCGTCTATCTTTCGAGGACTGCTGATGCTGACCCACCCTCCCTAAACCCCATCTGAGCCAGGAGCAGAGGGTAACAGCCTGTGATCAATGATCAGCAGAATGGCCCTGTTCTAGCTTCCTTGCAACTGGACACAGTGAGAACTGGAGAGAGAAGATTCCAGGCATCTCTAGCTAGTGGGATCTGCCCAGAAACATCCTTTTGGGGACAGAGGGAGTCTGTGAGAGACTTCTGGACCCCATAAGGAGGACAAAAGCAGTGGAGAACTGCACTCATCAAAACCCTAGTCCAGAGGCACCGTAACTCAGACAGCAAGAGGAAGTGAAAGGAAAGTTAGGGCAATGAAACAGATGAAAGAAAACACTCCTGAGGAAGAATCAGCAGAAAAATCCTGGCAACATGAAAAAACAGTCCAGAGCAAAACACCCCCTCCCCCCAAGGGACTGTGAGGTAGCTACTGTAGAGGATTTCACCTATAAAGAAATGTCAGAAATGGCAGAAAGGGAATTTAGATTACCGATGATGAAAACAATGAAGGAACTGATGGAAACAATGAAGGAAACTGCTGATAAAGTGGCAAATGACCAAAAGGAAATCCAAAAACAGAATTAAATAAAAGATGAATGATATGAAGAATATTGAAAGGATACAGCAGAGCTGAAGGTACTGAAACAGTCAATTAGGGAACTTAAAGATGCAATAGAAAGTATCAACAACAGATTAGACCATGCAGAAGAAAGAATCTCAGAGGTAGAGGACAAAGCTCTTGAGATAACTCAGATAGTTAGAGGCAGAAAAGAAGAGAGAGAAAGCAGAACATTCACTGACAAAATTATGGGACTTTATGAAGTGTTCAAACATATGAGTTATAGGTATCCCAGAGGGGAAAAAAGTATGCCCCAGGGGTTGGCGCCTGTGGCTCAGTGAGTAGGGCGCCGGCCCCATATACTGAGGGTGGTGGGTTCAAACCCGGCCCCGGCCAAACTGCGACAAAAAATAGTCGGGTGTTGTGGCGGGTGCCTATAGTCCCAGCTACTTGGGAGGCTGAGGCAAGAGAATCACCTAAGCCCAGGAGTTGGAGGTTGCTGTGAGCTGTGATGCCACAGCACTCTACTGAAGGTGACAAAGAGAGACTGTGTCTCAAAAAAAAAAAGAATGCCCCAGGGGAATAGAAGCCATACTAGAGAATATTATAAATGAAAATTTCCCAAATATCACCACCAAAGATTCTGACACACACTCTTTTCAGAAGGATATCAGACCCCAGGTTGCCTCAACTCTAACACAGCTTCTCCAAGACACATTGTGATGAACCTTTCCAAAGTCAAGACAAAAGAAAACATTTTGCAAGCTGCCAGGAGTAAGCACCAGTTGACCTACAGAGGCAAATCCATCAGGGTGACTGCAGACTTCTCTAATGAAACTTTTCACACAAGAAGACAAAGGTCATCTATCTACTTAAACAGAACAATTTCCAGCCCAGAATTCTATATCCTGCTAAGCTAAGCTTTAAAATTGACAGAGAAATCAAATCATTGAGGAAATTTGCCACAACAAGACAACGCTACAGGAAATACTTCAACCTGTTCTACACACTGACCATCACAATGGATCAACAGCAAAGTAAGAACTTGGAAACTGAAGGACAGAACCTAACTTCCACAATGATGTAAAAGATAAAACTAAGCGAAAATATTCAACAAGATACTATCGAACAGAATCCAGCAACACATCAAAAAAATTATACACCACGATCAAGTAGGTTTTATCCCAGGATCTCAAGGATGGTTCAACATACGTAAATCTATAAATGTAATTCATCACATAAACAAATTAAAAAACAAAGATCATATGATTCTCTCTATTGATGCAGAAAAAGCTTTTGATAATATCCAGCATCCCTTCATGATCAGAACACTTAAGAAAATTGGTATAGAAGGAACTTTCTTAAGCTGATAGAGGCCATCTACAGCAAACCCACAGCCAATATTGTAATCAATGGAGTTAAATTGAAATCATTTCCACTCAGATCAGGAACCAGGCAAGGTTGCCCATTGTCCCCATTGCTATTTAACATTGTAATGGAAGTTCTAGCTATTGCAATTTGGGAAGAAAAGGCAATTAAGGGTATCCATATAGGAATAGAAGAGATTAAACTTTCACTTTTCACAATGATATAACTGTATATCTGGAAAACACCAGGGATTCAACTAAAAAACTCTTAGAAGTGATAAAGGAATATAGTGACGTATCAGGATACAAAATCAACACTCATAAATCTGTAGCCTTTATATATACCAATAGCAGCCAAGCTGAAAAACAGTCAAGGACTCTATCCCATTTAAAGTAGTGCCAAAGAAGATGAAATATTTGGGAGTATACTTAACAAAGGATGTGAAAGATCTCTATAAAGAGAAC